GCACTGCAACCTGTGGCAAGCTGCTGGGAAGAGCAGAGCCAGCACCTGTTGTGGCTGCGCTCCATTGCAGGAGCTATATCCGTGTGGCTGCATTCATGGTATCTGTGCAGCTGTGGATAAAGCACCCCTCACCCAGCTGGAGGCTGTTCCCAGGGAGCAGGGTCCTGCCTAGCAGAAGTGGATGAGATGAGACAGAAGGAAAACAGCTTTCTGCTTGGTGATATGCCTTGCAACCCTGGGAAGGGCATGACCAGTTTGCAGATGCAATATACTCAGGTAGATCGATGTTATAATGGCGCACAGCACAGTACATCTGCACTGAAGAGGAGGTGCTGCAGGAAGCACTGCGCTCTGCTTCATCCCAGTTGGCTGAGGACAAGGGGCCTGATGCGCCCACCATGGGTTTGGATGTAGCCACGTGGAGGAAGCTGCTAATTAGTTATACCCAATTAGCATCATATTTAACAAGAACTTCCCTAGTTCCCACCTCTCCTGCTGTAATTATTTCCATCCCTGTGAAGTTCAAGATCACTGGCTGTGCCACCTGTATGGGGGCAGGTGGCATGGAGAGGTAGGGTGGAAGCTGGGCCCACGCAACACCCACCGGCTTCAGGGACCAATTTAAAATGCCTTTGTGATGGCAGTGTCAAAACTGGAAGTCTTTTCAGAGGCTGTGGCATTGGCATTCCCCCTCAATGTGCAAGAGCTTCTATCACATTGAAAAATGTTAAATTATCAGAAGATGAAGCAAAAAATATTAGTTGGTTTTCATTTCCTTTTGGAACTTTTCCTCCCTGCAAAATGGTGTCATAAACAACACTTTTTTACTAAGATAATCACTTTATAAAAGAAAAAATAAAGGTATTATTTTCAGCAGGGGGCTGTGATGTTGAGCTGAGTGCTATTTTTTCCCCAAGGGACCTTGAAATTTAATTTTACTTACCTTGGATGTTGCCTCAAGTCTCAAAGCTTCCTACCATCTTGACACCAGAACATGACAAAGAGGTTTTGTATTATGAAAATTAAGCTTAAAGCCAGAGCAGACACTGATCCACCAGCTGGAATCTCAAAGCCAGACTTTGCACTTGGCAGGAAGCCATCAGTTAACAACAAGAAGAAATGGGGACTTTGTCTCAAAGGTAGTGGACCATGCACCTAAAGCAGGCATCTGGCTGCAGCAGGACAGGGGACCCCTCACCCCAAACGTGCTTGCCACGGTTAATGGCGTCTCCTCTTCTACTGACTAGCCTCTTCTACTGACTAGCCTGGTGTGCCGTTTTCCTCTCTCGGGAGCTCCCGCGGCTCAGCAGAATGGGCACAGGGGTATTCTCACAATTCAGCATCTCACTGTGGCCCACAGCCTCTCACTGAACTCCAGGAAAGGAGTTAAATTACCTCAGAGGGCCTTAAATTACATCAGCTCCACCACTATGGCCCTGGCATGGGAAAGCAGTTTGTCGTCTTGCACCTAGCATGTCCCTAGGCCAGAGAGAGCTAATGTTCTGTAAAGGACCTCTTAGCACTGAAAAACAGCTGAAAAATTCCCAGCTTTGGCTGAGGCCACCAAAGTGAGCTCTTACATGGGAAGAGAGCCAGCACCAGGTCTTGAGTCTGTGATGTGGCAGGAGGTTGCCCAGCCTCCAAGCTGGAGGAGAAACTCAGCACTGTGGGATTGTTACAATGCCTTGTCCCTTATCTCTCTCCTTCAGCCTGGATGAGAAGCTCAAGCTTGGGATAAACATTAACCCAACACAGAAACAACCTCCCCAGGAATTCCTCTTTCCAGGGCAGCATGCGCTGGAATACAGGAGTGCATTAAGTGTCTTTGCTGTGCACTAGCACCTTTGCATGCAAGGGCTTAGCTGCAGCATATAGAGGTAATGGTGGTTCAGACCAAAGATCGTTCCAGCCCAAAACCACCCACGGCCAAAAAGGGGTGAAGAAGGGAAGCCTCCCCACCTCTACCTGTTTGCAGCTCAGGGACTTATGGAGCCAGCAGTGGCTTTCCGCATGTTTTACCACCCTGCATCAATTTGTCCTTGCAAAACCATATAAACTCTTGGTGACCCCAAAGTCCTGCAATAAGGTGATCTACAGATTAATTGCACATGCTAGAGGGAAAAGAAAAAAATTGAAACCATCCTTTTTTAGGGTTACAGATGGTATAGTAAGGTTTAGATTAATGCAGAGACAGAAGGCTTAATTTAACAAGTAATGTTATGCATACAGCAAAGCTCAGCAAAGGCTGACTCTGGGGTGGAAAGACACCTGTTTTATCCACAGGCGCCAGCACAGGCAGAAGGAGCTACTGGGCTGTGCAACCAGGTCAAAGTGTTTTCCAGCCACAACAGTTGGCCATGGCAGTACAAATTATCCTTGCACACTTCATGCAGGGATAACCTCTGTTCAAAACACCCCTGGCACTGACTGATGCTCACTGCAGGTCTTGCAGAGGCCCAAGAGACTTGCATAGGGGTAAGCTAACCTCTGGGCCCAGTTGGCATCTCATGACATGAGTTCAGTGCTTTTCAGTAGCCCCAAAGTTTGTGGAGCAGAAGGGAAGTAGACTAGGGCCCAAGAGGACATGCTGGCTTGCCTCCAAGGTGCAGGTCTGCACACGCTTTGCAGATCTTTCTGCATCCACCACATTTTAGGAAAGAATGACCACAAGTGACTGGTGGGCAGTATGACCAGAGGAAATGGCCCTCAGCAAATACACAAAACCAAGAGCTGGTGAAGACACAACAGAAGACCCTGAGATGTCCTTCACTTCTGATTTCAGTTAAGAATTATTTTCAGAAGCTTCCATCAGGGACAACAGCTTGGTCCTTACATCTTCTACAGAGAAGTTTATTTTTTAATGGGTCATTAAATACCACATAGACCAATGTTTATTTATATACTGTAGACATATGTCAGGCTATGGTTTGGTCTAATAATACACATTTCAAATGCCTTTTTTAAAAAACATAAGGGCAGGATGGAAGGAAATATTTTTAAGCTGTTGCAAAAGGCTGTAGGAAGAATATAATTGTAAGTATACTTCTGAATTCCACAGTCTTGATTTAAAAGATAATATCTTTCAAAAGTCCATAACAGTAGCAAAAATCTGTATTTGTGTGTACCCATGCACATAACAGTATGAGTAAGTTAGATTAGCAATATCATCTGTAAAGAAAAACCTTCTGCCTTTTGAGCTTCTCTAGCTAGGTGGCACCATTTTAAAGCCAACTAATTTTTTTTTTACATACTGTGGTAAGACTCCAGTAACATTTTCTTCTCATCCCACACTTTCAATGCATGCAGTTGTCAGTGACATCAGTAAGATCTACCTCACTCTTGCCCATATATCCATTCTTCCTAAAACCTCCTTTCCACTTTGATTACTTCTGTATTGTGTGGTTGGCCTCCCCAGCTCTCTCCCAACTCAGACTTTTGTAATTCTTTGAAACTGGCTGCTTTGGTCCAGCTGTGCCCAAGGCAGAGCTGAGGTAGACCGTGTGCCTCAGGTGAATAGAGGTTGGTGCTGTTTCCACTAGAGTTTGTGATCTTGGCTACAGCCCACCTGGCTGAGAACAGTACAGGCTATGAATGCTTCTTTTCCCTTCCTCTGCAGGCACTGGTGACTTTATACCACAAGAGGTTTAAAGGAGGCATCATCCACTGAATGAGCTTGGGTTCAAGGTCAGTCTAAAAATGTAGAGCAGAGCCTCCCCTTACAGCAGGGTCTGCTGCATGCTGTCAGTGCCAGCACTGTAGGCACACCCAGAACGAAGCACCACCCAGCAGGAAAGTGGGGCAGCAGGATCTGGCACCACATTAGGGAAAATAAGTTGTATTTATCAAAAATAAGTTGTATTTATCTGAAGCATTTGATTCATCCTGGGTCTGTGGAGGACTGAGCGGCACAGGCAGGGCATCCAGCCCAGGGGATGGGTCAGCCTGGGAGGCAGGGGAGAAGGCCCCAATTCCCAGAGGTAGGCAGGGCATCTCTGTGTGCTAGACCCATGGAGGCCAGCTCCTTGGTTCAGGGGAAATTAATGTTTTTTTTCCTAAAGAACATCAAGCCATCTTTTGTGATCTAGTCCAAGTGGCTTGCAAGTTCACTCCAAGTACCATATGCCATGGGTCAAAAACCTTCAATATTGGAAATGCCTACAGTAAAGACCTCCTCCCTCCCACTATGAATGGGAAACAAAGACAGGGATATCAACATAGAAACCCTGCACAGGAAGAGCATAACTGTGAGGCAGAGAGAGATGGCCAAGGGTGAGGCAATCAGAAGACCCAGGTGTCCCCATTAGTCAAAGTCTCCATAACATTAGGCCCTGCCTGCAGCCAGGCTGTGGTTGGTTTCATACTGACAAGCTCTACGGAGCAAACTCACCTCTGGAAGGCACAGCGCTGCCAGGGTCAGGCCACCCATAGATGGCTCTGCTCAAAGCTAAACAAAGAGGAGTGGTAGCTCCCAGCGTTTCCCAGCCAGGCAGGGAGACACTCCCAAAGACTTCCACAGGAAACAAAATAAACTGGAGAGGCAACTCCACTCTCCCACAACCCATTTCACTTGTACCAGCCTGAGCCCCATATCCTCAAGCTCCCAGGACTTCCTCAGGCCCAATGCTCATCTGGAGGCAGTGTCATGACTCAGTAACTGCAGTGCTAAACACATGCTCTCCTGGCAGGCTACCCAATGAAGGCACCATGCCTTCAAAGAGCAGGTTTCCTTCCTGACCAATTCAGAAGCTTTAGGTGCCAATGAAGGAATGCTCTTGGTTCGTTATTTCTGGTGATTTTACTTGTACACAAAAATCTCTTTCACCCTCCATCAGAAAAGGTAGAAAAGCCCTGCCTGGCTGGGTCTTTTGCATCGTGACAACTTCTGTCATGGTACCACAACTTTTATTTCCTATGGACCTTCAACTGTAATCCTGAACTGCACAGGACAGGGTGGGCCGAATGAGGAGAAGTACAGAAGAGGATGAACTCCTTTAACACATTCCAATCCATTACAAAGTCTGGCTTGGTCCCCAAATGGTCCTACACTCACAGCCTTGCTTCCTGGGGCAGATGAACTCCTGCTGTGACTATCTTTTCCTCTCTGCTCCATCTCTTACAGACAGTTGCTACTGAAGACCTTCTGCAAGGCAGGAGGGAAGTGATGAGGAACTCTGGTTTTGTTACATCTCTTCTTCCTCTTCACTACCAACCTCCTTCAGGTCCTGAGGACCCTGCTCTGCTCTCTCTTTTACATAGGCTGCCTTGATCTGTTCCAGTTCACACAGCTCTGCCTCCAGCTCTTCCCTGTGCATTGACCGTCGGTTCCTCAGCAGTTTCATGGGGAAGGGGTTTAAGTCATTGAAGGCAATGTTCATCAGCTTCCTACAATGGAAAAGACAGGTCTGGTGAACTGATTTACTGGCTAGCAACAGATGGTAACAGATACACCAAGTACATCCTGGGGTAGGCAAAGAGTAGGGCCTCAGATTTCAGCTCTCTGAGCTTAAAAGTCACCAAGCAGGAGAATCTTAAAGGAATCACAGGCAACTCCTTCTCACACTAACACCAACGCAAGCAACACTTTAAACAGTCTTACTCCACACCACCTTTTAAGGTACTGGTGTGCAGCCACTAGTCCGTAGATGGTGGATCAGATACCAGTTCTGATGACCTTTGGGGGGGAATATTCCTGACATTGAGCTGTTCTGATCACAGAAATCTTCAGACACACTACCACTGAAGGTCATGAGTGTTGCTGTGTTACCAAATACCCCAACTACAGCTGAGAGAAACCCAGGCAGCCAAGTGGCAGCACAAGTTCCAGATGCTGCAAAAAGGAGGCTGGCCCAGACTTTGTGGCCTGCTCTGCTGTAGCATGCCTTTACCCAAGCCAAAAAAACTTTAAGTAACACCATGAAGGGAAAGTCAAAAAGAGAAAAACTGATCCCTGTCCCATGGACCTGCCAATGCACATGCACCTCTCTTAACAGACTGGTCACAACTCTTTTTAGGCTGATCTAAGAGGCAAGCAAGCACAAACCCAGGATGGAAGGTTCTCTACAACCCACAGTCCTACCTGCCATCCGTGATCATTCTCGTGAAAAAGCGTAGGTACTGGTAGATCTCCACACTGTCATGAATTCTTAGGATTTCCTCCTCATTGTATTTAAAAATTGCAAGAGCATAGCGGAAAATCACCTGGAGGGTTGAAAGGTATTTGAGTTGACAAAGTCTTAGGCAGCTGAGGGACTAGGCCCTCCTGGTGTGAAACAAAAGGTGGGACACACAGCATTGCAGAGCAGGCTGGACACTGGGCTTCTGCTCTCAAGAGGCTGCATTAGGGCAGGCCTAAAGAAGCTAATCCCAAGAGGATGATCCTCTGTGAGCCAGTTTACAACCCTAGAGCATACCAGGTCCTCCAAAAGGACCCCATAGAGATTTTGCAAGGGTTCTCAGGTTCTCCCTATGTAGAGGGGCAATGCAAGACTCATGTTTTCAGATACTGTCTGCCCATCTTCTGCTCCCTGTATCTGTCATACTCTCAGCTGTGTCCAGGCCACAGAGCAAAAGACACCATGGCCTGTCAGAGAGCTGTTCCATAGCAGGACTACTAGCTAAAAAGTGCCAAGGGTACTGCGCACAGTATCAGGGACTAGGTCTGCATACTAGCTGCAAGTATACACACAACACAGAGGCTGAGAGGCATCAAGGCACCCCAGGTGGGTGCCTAACAGGCAGGATAGGACAAGAGGCTCAACCCCATATCTCTTTGACACACGTGTATGTCCATTGCCCTGCCATCATGTCACAGAGGTGGTGCAGATGGGAGGAAGGCCTAGACTGAGAGTTGCACCTTAGTTCCCTCGTACAAGAAGGCATCCCACACTCGCAGGAGGATGTCGCTGACCAGGCTGTCCACAAACGCCACCAGAAACCAATTGAAGGTGATGAGTGACACATCAATCCGATACTGCTCAAAATGAGCCATGAGGCGAGGCAGTTTCTCTGACAGGAAGTCTTTGAAGACTCTCTGATCTACCTAAAGTTGACCAAAAAAAAACCAACAATGAAGTGCTAGTCAAGAGCAGTCCTGGTGTTGGAGGAGAGGAGTGGTGCAATGGGCCAGTGGCCTACACACGCCACAGTAATCACTGGTGCTGCCTTCTAGCAGAGCATCCTTTGTCTCCCAACCCTTCAAAATTAGTAAGCAGTGTACTTGTATGTTGTACCCACTGCAAGGTGTGGAGCTGAAACAGGGCCAAGATACAAGCAGAGATACATTCTTCTCACTTAGAGGATCATATTCCTTCCCAATCTCAAAGTCAAGAGGGAAAATGCTGCCACATCTTCCAGCATTGTTCTTACTGGGTTTTTCTGTAATGTCATGAGCATCCTATTAAACGACAGGGATTAAAACCTGCCCAGGTCTGAATGACTGCACATGGCCCCACAGAATAAACATCTAGAATCCCTCTGACTTTGCAAGCAAGACCTGATCTTCTCACTTAGCTTCTCTTTGTGGTCTGAGTACTGTCTGTGGTCTCGTTCTGATTGTATAAGCTGAGACACAGAAACGCAGTTGGTGAGACCCTTGACCCAGATCTGTAAAGGTTTTATCTCAGGAAGCTGTGGTTTTATGAGGGGAAGTGCTAAGGAGCAAAATCATGGTTAGGTCTTCCCCTATGCCATATCATACTACCGCCCCAGCTGTGCCAGCCCACTTAGCTGCGGCACAGCGGTGTACAAACCAAATAAGGTGATATGCTTGCTCTTTAAAATCTGCAAGAGCTAAACCTTAAGTTTTTCAGCCAACTCAGAGCTTTCACTTTATCAAGTCAACACACCAAGCATCACCCTAGACCCTCCTCTTTACGTGGGTCTTGGCTAGACTTTCAGACACCAACCAGGAGGTTAGGAAGTCTTTCTGAAAACAGCTCCCTCAGCTGCCATTCTTTTCCTACCTAATGTAGGGGAGCCTCTGTGTCTTTAGTCTGCCGTGCTTTCCCTGTCAATCACTATTTGTCAAGTATTGAGGGCTGCTTATTATATCTCTCAGCTAACTACCTGCTCCAGATAGACATGCTGCTATCTGCACAGTGATTTGGCTGCTTCCCCAGGCTGTGGGTTGGCCTCTCCACCAGCACACCACTGTCCCAGTAAACATTAGTCAACCAATTCAGTGGCACAATCAGTCACTCTCAGCTACTGATACTTGCAGCCTCATCTATCGTGAGCCCACAGATACAACCCTCTTCTCTCTGAAAGGATCACATACAGTAAAGACACCAAGGTCATGGCCAGCCTCACCAGACTGAGCACTGCTGGGTGTGGGTGGTATGGGCGCACAATTACAATTCCATTGAACTATATGGGATTTATCTTTCCTCTGTGTCTGCCTGGGAGGACACATTATATCTGATACAAAACAACACGTTTTGAAAACCTTGAAATCCAGTGACTTTGAACCAGGAGGGTAAGTTACTCACAGAACAACATTTTACATCTGAAGGGCTGCAGAATGATGCCTTCTACATACTTAGTTCTACACATGTCACAGTTTGCAGCTTCACCTCCTTAAAATAAGTAACTGGGCATCTTCCTTCTGACTAACCTGACCTTCAAGTGATTGCTCAGGAGTGGCACCCAGTTTCCTAGTGCTGGGGATCAATTTTGCTGCTCCTCTGTGTGTAACAACTTTATACTCTCAAATCTACAACACCTCTGCAACGGAAGGGATTGCAAGGTGTGAGAAATCAAACACACTGCAAGTTGACTGCTTGCTTTTAAACCTTTACTGTAAATCACTGTATCAGAGTCCAAGCAGCTCTGAGGATGCTCAGCTCACCTGCGATGTTATCAGTGTGTCACTGTAGTAGTCTGCTGGCATTAGGTTCTCCACAATATGGACTAGGCACCAGAAAGCACTTTCCTCATCTTCCAGGACCAGGAGGGCAACAGCTGCCAATCTGTGATGGACAAGACATGGTAAGGCAATGCAACACTGCAGGAGAACACACGGGTCAGCACAGGAACTGGAGAATTCAAGATTACTCTTGGCATGAGCGTCCAAAATATCAAACATGGCAGGACAGTTGGTCAGAGAGTCAAGTGATCTGGTCTGAGGGTTTCTGAAGGAACCATGGGGCTGTGATTTTCTTTCCCATGAGCCTCTGTCAGCAAACAGGAAGCATCAAATACGGAAATGAGGTGACAAAGCCAGACTCCCCAGCTGATGGGATGCTCTGTAGATCTGCTGAAGTTAGCTGTGTGCTGATTTTGGCTATTTCCATACAGGAAAGAGCCCACTTGGAGATACTCCATATTATGTGACATAGCTGACCTTCCCATACATTCTTCTACAGCCCTTACCCCCTTCAGCTCTGACTTATCCCCTTTCAGCCAGACTGGAAAGGTGAGATCTAAAATCAAGGGCTCTCTAGAGTCGAAAATGATTTTCTGAAGACCATCCAAAGAATCACAGAATCACAGAATGGCAGGGGTTGGAAGGGACCTTTGGAGATCATCTAGTCCAACCCCCTGCTAAAGCAGGATCACCTAAAGCAGGTTGCACAGGATTGCATCCAGGCACGTTTTGAATCTCTCCAGAGAAGGAGACTCCACAACCTCTCTGGTTCCAGTGCTCTGTCACCCTCAGAGTAAAGAAGTTTTTTTCTCCAATTCAGACAGAACTTCTGTGTTCCAGTTTGTGCGCATTGCCCCTTGTCCTGTCGCTGGGCATCACTGAGAAGAGTCTGGCCCCATCCTCTTGACATCTACCCTATTTATAAGCACTGATCAGATCCCCTCTCAGTCTTCTCTTCTCCAGGCTAAACAGACCCAGATCCCTCAGCCTTTCCTCATACGAGAGATGCTCCAGTCCCCTTATCATCCTCACAGCCCTCCGCTGGACTCTCTCCAGTAGTTCCCTGTCTGTCTTGAACTGGGGAGCCCAGAACTGGACACAAGATTCTAGAGATGGCCTCACCAGGGCAGAGTAGAGGGGGAGGATAACCTTCCTTGACCTGCTAGCCACACTCTTCTTAATGCACCCCAGGATATCGTTGGCCTTCTTGGCCATGAGGGCACATTGCTGGCTCATGGAGAGCTGCTTGTCCACAGGATTCCCAGGTCCTTCTCCACAGAGCTGCTTCCCAGCAGGTCAACCCCTAACCTGTACTGGTGCTTGGAGTTATTCCTCCCCAGGTGCAGGACTTGCACTCCCTACCGAATTTCATTTAGTTCCTCTCCACCCAAGTCTCCAGCCTGTCCAGATCTTGCTGAATGGCAGCACAGCCTTCCAGTGTGTCGGCCACTACTCCCAGTTCTGTACTGTCAGTGAATTTGCTGAGGGTACACTGTTCCCTTGTCCAGGTCACTGATGAATATGTTGAATAAGGCCGGGACAAGCACTGACTCTTGGGGCACACCACTAGATACAGGCCTCCAACTAGGCTGCACCCTCTGGGCCCTGCCATGCAGCCAGTTCTCAATCCACCTCACTGTCCACTCATCCAACCCACACTTCCTAAGCTTGCTTACGAGGATTTTATGGGAGACGGTGTCAAAAGCCTTGCTGAAGTTGAGGTAGACAACATCTGCTGCTCTCCCCTCATCTACCCAGCTAGTCACGCCATCACAGAAGGCTATCAGATTGGTTAGGCATGATTTCAGAACAACAGGAATATCTGTTATTAGAGAGGCACTGGGCCTCTATATTCCAGCTAGAACAACACGAATAGCTTACACACTTTCCTCATGTGAAAAGGTCCAACCAGAAATTCCCTTCTTGCAGCTGGTGCCTCTTTTACTTGGTGGCACACTTCTAAGAAGTCTGGTTTTATCTTTCCTATAACCTTATTTGGGAAGTGAAAGAAGCTTTTAGATTCCCTGAACCTTCTGTTCTCCAGACAGAACAACCCCAGTTTCCTCAGCTTCTCCTCACGTCATTTGCTGCAACTCCCTCATCTCTAACACTTCCCAACACTTCCTCCAACTCTTCTCAGCAAAAAGGGGAATCACCAGGGTGTTCTTCTGCTGAGCACATTAAGACTTAGAAATTCAACCCTAGCCTCAGGCTGTTATTCTGGGACTGCCTCATTCTACCTCCTATAGCTGCTCCTTCCTATTCTGTAACTATGGAGATGCCAAACGAGTGAATCCTGCAGGCTGCTTGATCCCAGCAACAACACTGAAGCAACTTTTTTCACTAGGTGAAAATTTTTTCACTGCATGAAAATAGAGCCAAGACAGAACTCTAGAGAGGCAAGAGCCTCTTGAACCACAGGCTGGAGTACATGTTCTCAGTGCTATCCCATGAAGAAGCAGCACACCTGGCTCCTCACCTGTTCAGTCCCTGGCAGTATCCAATGGCAGGATTGTGCCAGGAGAATGCCAGCAGCACCCTCCGGAGCTTGGGGATAAGCTGGGAAGTGGGAGAGGAAAAATATTTGTTGTTGGTCAGTGTGCGGGGCAGGTCGAGCTCAATCTGCCGGCAGGCAGGGTGCTCAGTGCTCTTGCTCTGTTTTAACAGCCGCTGGTAGTGGTCAGACAGACGGCTACAGTGCCGGTTGACAATCCACCTCCAGACCCGTTGCCGATGCTCCACTGGAATGCCACATCGGATCAGGCTCTTCAGCTCTGCAGAGGGGCTCAGCTCTCCAACACTGTTCCACCTGTCACGGAGGGGCTTCTCTACTACTTCCTGGCTCCGCAGGTTGTTGGACTTTATCTCCAGGGCTTGGATTTTAGCCAGAAGTTTCCAATCCTCAACTTCATAGTCAGGTACAGTCATAAACCCATACTCATCGTACTCACTGGAGGGACACAAGGCAGAGGTTAGTTCAAAGGAAAGTGCTAGTACCTGTATCAAAGGCCACTCACTGCTTGGGGCCATGCCACCTACAGCCTGCTGCCAGGTTCCTGTCTCCCATGCTGGAGCACAGGTACTCCTCCTTCACTGCTCTGGCAGCTGCATGTGACAGCCTGCTATGCCCACTGTGTCAGAGCCTTGAAGACAAATGAGAGCCTGCAGCGATGGCACACACACACATACCCAAATACAAGTGTAACTTTGCTCTGAGCTACAGCGCAACCTCATCAGACCTCTCACTTCACCTGCTGCCCTGCCCCTAAGGGAGTATCTAGCTCAACCTATGTACCTTCTCCCTACCATGTCCTAGTGCAGACAGTTCTGTAGGAAGGGACTGCAAAGGCTTTGGGACATCAGACCAAAGAATAGAGATCCACAGTCCCTTCTGATGTCTCTCTGTACACAATGCAAATCTCCTACTGATCGGAAAACACCAGAAGTGCTAATAGTACAGATTGTTGAGGGTTTGTGCATCATCATTCCACAGGCTGGGATACTTGCAAGATACTGTTACATTCTTGACAGAGAGATGAAGCCTGGCCTGGGGAGTCTCATCGCCACCTGGAGAACCTGCAAGCCTGACCAAACAGGTGAAATGGAAACTGCTACAGAACTGGTGCACTAACTGGGCAGGAAAGCATAAACACAAATGCAAGGACCCTAGCAGCGCTGGTGGCAAGGCTCTCTGGAGGTCTCCGGTCCAGCCTTCACTGCAGAATTGTCCTCAGCACTAGAACACGGCAATGGTGGCTTCATATGGCTAGGACTAGAAAACCCCAAAGGATGGAGATCTCCGACCTCCCAAGTGGCCTCCTCTCCTACAGAAGGAGTTTATCCTCATGTCCAGTGCTAACCTCCCAGGCACACCATGGCCATTGTCACTTGCCATACTGTCCGTCATTGCCAAGAAAAGTTTAGCAGTTCCATCTTTAACTTCCCCTTCCTGCAGTGCTGCTATCAGATACGTGTGATCTCCACACCACCGAACTAAACCAGCCTCCTCCACCTCCACTCCTAGGTCATGGCTCCAAGTCCCTGCTATAGAAATATTGCTGGATCTTTCTTGCCTGCTCATTCCCCTCAATGGCCAGACTCCTACAAGTGTGTGAATATTCCCATACTCTTGCCTCTTACCTTACAGGGTTCAGATTAAAACCTTCTTCTGCTTCTTCCTTCACATCCCACTGGAGCGCTTCCTGGATAAGGTTCCTCACCAACTCAGCATGGGAGCTGGGCAGGCCAGGCAAAGCCTCCTGCAGCTTCCGCAAGACTGTCAGGTATTTGCTCTCCATCTGGCAGTTTCGTGCTTGCAGGCAGGCACACTGATGGGGAAACAAGAGGGAATGAGCTGGCTCATTGATGGTTCTTCCTGTGTTGCCACTGCTCTCTACTGGCCTGGCCTGCACACAAGTGGCACTGGTACACAACATTTCTCAAGCACAGGAAGACCAACTGAGTTGAAATAGCAGGACAGTCTCTGCCACCACCATACTCCTGGGCACACAGAAGTAGAGAAAAGGAATGAGGACAAGTTCCATTAAGTGGGGAACTGAGGCCACACAGGTGAAAAGACTCACCCAATGTCCTGCAGGAAGTTCAATGAAGACTCCTGCTCAGTAGGAAGCAGCAGTTGAAAACAAAAACAAAACAGAAAACAGAGAGAATTAGGCTGCATATAGAGGGGACAGAAAGGAGCGTGGGATACTGTTGTACTACTTTAATCAGAATTTTGCCTCACACTGAGCATGTTGGCCTGATTACTTCCTTTCTGAAGGTTACGGCGGTTTCAGGATCAGAGAAGGGCCGTACGTTAGGAGGAAGGCAGGTTTTTAAAGGACTGGAAACCAAACAGATACAAGAATGGCAGTAACATTTCAGAAGCAGCTTTTTACTGTGTTCCAGAATCCAAGACTGTGGAGACATACCTTAAAACCCAGGGAAAACCCACAGAACAAACGTCAGCACACACCACCAGCCTGGGAAAGTGGTTCAGGACCAAAAGGTAGGATTAGACAAGATTGAGAGTAACCAGGTCATGCACACTTACAAGGCTAGAAATAAAAGCAGAATTTAAGAATACATAAGAACTCTGATCTAGCTGTAGGATGCGAGGTGCTGCCACCTGGCAGTGCCAAGCCTGGTAGAGAAATCAAGACTAGACGGAGCCAGGGCTCTGTGAGTCTGCCAGCTTTCAGGAAAATTTTTTTGTTCCCTACATATAGTGTCATATTATATTTGTATCCAAAAGCATAGCTGAAATGCAGAAATCTGGGTTAAGTTTCAGCATCCTTAAGGTTGAGCTTTGCAGGCATTTTACTTTTATTGAAGAATGAGAATGATCATGTCTAATTTGGGAACAACACAAAGCAGAAAAAAAGGCCACACTGAAAAAAAAACACATTGGGAAGAAAGCTTATTCCTGGTGTGTTTTGGACCAAAATCCATTCCAGTGCCAACTTTGGACAGAAATTAGTAACAGCTCTTGGCAAGGGAAAAAAAAAGTCATTTTGCCTTACCTTCATCAGGAGGGCTTTTTCATTCTCAGCAACGCTTGTCCAGAGTCGAGTAACCTGGTGGATCTCCGAGTTGAGAAACTGGTTCTGAGTTTTGTATGCATCAATATCATCCTGCCATGAAGCAAAACAAGTCACACAAGGATAGCTCTTCAGGGACTTGGAATGCCCTCCCAGTTCAGTTTTTAAATCCCAAGAGGGACCTCAGGTGGGGATTGTGTTAAGGACAAGAAAATATCTCAACAATTTTGTGTTCTGGGAAGAAGACAGGACTCCCCAGGACAGATATTGCCTACAAAGGAAATCAAGACATAGCATTAAATAGAAGTGTCATGCATAGATGTGACACTTGAAAATGCTAAGTGCGCTGCATGTGCCTGCATAGAAAACACAGAGACACCTGAGGGATATAAAGCCAGAGAAGCAAGAAAAGGAGATGAAGAATATACATGTTTTGTTCTACTTTTTAAAAAACTGACACCTGTCTCAGCCCCATGGCTGGCAGCAAAAATAAACACACTCCCACAACGCAGTAAGTGGCTCTTTGGGCAATTCTCCACCCCATGCTAACTGGTCATTATAACTGTGCATATAGTGACATACAACAGGCTGGATTTGAAAGAACCAGGATGCATTGGGAAACTTTGCAAGAGGGAAACACAGAGGAATAGAGCTAGTGAAGGCAGCGAGACTGCAGCTGTGAAACAAAAAAAGAGCAAAGAAAGAGGCAGTCACTGAATGGTGACACAAAGTCAAACAAAACAGGCTCTGAGCTGAAGCTGAAACTGATGCAGATGGTTTTGAGCATCCTATTGATACCAGGTGAGCCCCTTCCAGGCTGCCTCTGGTTTGGAGACAGATAAAGCAACTAGCAGAAGTATACTCTGTGCTTCCCACAAGGAACACCTTCCCACTGAACTAGAGGGCACAGAAATGGGAGCCTCCAAATGACCTACGCCATCTCACACACCTTCAGGTGCTCAATCTTCTCCTGCTGCTTATACAAGGTCTCTGCAGTGATAGTGTTGGCTTCTTGCAGAGGGTCAGAGAGTTCTTGGGCCATCTGTTCTGTCAAGGCCATGATGACTTCCTGTTTGGCGTGGTTCTTCTCCATCAGAAGTTGCACATGCTCCTTGAGTTCCTGGATGTGGCTGTCTCTCAGAGTCAGCATCTGCTCCAGTTTCTTCTTATCTTGCTCAAGAGCTTCCAGTCGACTGCTGAGATCTGTGATTTGTCTCACCTTGTGGCGCACCAGCTCCAGCCTGTCCTTATCTTCTGCTGCAGTGAGATACATGCTAGATATTCGCTTCTCCTGCTGGGCTGCCTCCAGAGCTTTGTGGAGAAGTTTTACCAGCTCCTGGAAAGGGAATGCAAAGCCATTACACCACAATGCTGCCCTGGGCAATGACACCATGGACAGCACAGACCCAGCTAGTAATGAGTGAACAGTGAAAGGTCCTCAGGATCTTGAAATTGACTCCTTTCAGAAGCAAAATTGAATGCAGCAATCTTGAAAACACAGTGCCTCTCCAGTAGAGAAGCTCTGCTCTCAGGGCTGGGCCTGAAGGGTCCCTGCAGGCCACAGATGACTTGACTTTAGTTGGACTGCTAACAGACAAGCTGCTGTTCATAGTGACTGAATTCTGACTTTCTACAGCCATCCTTCTTGGGAGGCCCAGCAGAGACCAGAGAAGCTGGAGATCTGGTCAGCAGTGTGGTAAAATAGGAGGGCAAGAAATAAAGCAGTCTGCATCTACCTATGCTACCAGAAGGAAACTGCTGTATCAATTTTAACTTTCCCTTTGCCAGAGTCCTCCTTCATTCCATCTCACATGAAGGCACAAAAGCTTGCCCCAGCAACATGCTGCTGATTCAGGTTCTGCCATCTCAGCCATTTAAGGAAGCAAATCAAGGATGCAACTGATTGCCCACCATGGGACCTGGCTCTGCTGCCTCTTTTGCTAGAAGAGCTACCAGCATCATTAGTGAAGAGCCTGGCACTGCTTCATGCATGTGAAGAAGAACAGTACCATTCAGGAGAGACAGCCTTTGCAGTGACCCACACACTGACTTCCAGAGTCAAATCACCTCTTAGCGGTGGATCACTGTTCAAAAAGAATGACCTGCTGTTAACAGCAAGACTCACCATGGCAGTTCCTGCCAGTGTCCCAGTACCTATTCAGGACTGTACTTCACACATTCACTGAGCAATAGAGGTGCACCAGCAAGACACCTGCAGAGTGCACTCGGATTTGTTTTGCCTCCCTTTTCCAGCCCATCTGCTAGCTGCACTTTCTAGCAATGGCTGGAGGGCATTCCCTTGCACTGGGCACAATCAGGCACATACAAAGACGTAACACCAGGAGCTTCAACTGGTCCCCAGTGAGTGCCTGCTGAGCACTGCTCAGCCTAACACCAAGGTATAAGGGAGTCCCTGTGACCACTGTCAAGGCTGCTCTTAGAAGCAGCTGACTATTCGCCACACTCACCTTCTGTGACTTGACTTCTTCTGTGAGTGTCAGGATCTGTTGCTGTAGGACACTCACTTTATCTACTGGGTTCGTCTCCCTAGACAGTTCTTCAGGCAAGCCTGGGAAGCCACTGTTCATCCACTTGGCTTTCCTAACCCAGTTCAGCCTGGACTCCATCTTTCCATGCTCTGGGATCTGCTCCTTAACTGAAAGGAAATAGGGTTAATTTACACAGAATTGTGTTGCTACTATGGCCTCTTGAGTCTTGCTGTGGAGGGATTCACAACAGCTCAGCAGAGAAGACTGACACATGACAAGGAAAATTGACCTGCTAGGATCCACAGGGTTGAAGGACAGACAGTAGGGATCAGCCACAGGTACCCCCCAGAATAAACAAAGCTGTGATGTTTTATGCTACCTGTTAATCCACCTTGCACCTTGCCCATCTATCTTGCACACAGCAAATGCAAGTTACCATCATGGAGAAGTAACTTCCCAAGCATGCAGTGGAGATGCTGAGCTTAGCCTGTAAATGTGCAGCAACTTAAATTCTATCTCAAAGAAATACCGATATGGGCTGGCACCATGGATGGTATTTTTGCCTCTGTGAAGGTTCCAGAGGTAGGAGATAGACAGCTGCAGCCTGAATCAGAGGCAAAAAAGTCAGTCTTGTGCCAACAGCATAGGAAGGAACCTGAGACAATGTGATAGAGTTTTCATGTCCCATGATGACTTGACACTTTCTCTCTCCATTTCCTGCTAAGTCTGACTCCCTGCTAGAGGGCATCATACTCAGACCAGCTCACACAGCTCAGTAACCAGCACCTGCACACCCTGCCTCCACTTCTTCCTCTTGCTCATCTGGGTTCTCAGTGTGTTCCTGGAATTCACTGAAGCTAAAGACGTTCCCATTGTTCCCCCAGAGCTGCTTGGAGCCACAGATATTGTAGACAGTGTTTCTGAAACAAGAAGAGATCAAGACAGCCTAGTGAACAGAAGTCATGATCACTGCAGATCAAACTATTGAACACCTCACCTCTCCTCATATCCCACCCTGCCTCCCAAAACCTATCATCTCCTTCATATGCTGAGAAAATGAACTGTTCACCATGCTGGTGGATTTGAGAGGAGCAAGATAGTAACTGGCTCCACAGAAAGGCGCACACAAAATCAGTACCAGCACAGCAATGTAAATCTGCTGGAGATCTTTCCCCGTGTGCTTGAGTCCTGTACATAAATGCATCAGGCTGGACAGAGGAATCAAAAGTAACAGTAGACCAACTACATCCCTCCCTCCCTCCCTTCTCTCCCTCTCTTTAGCTCTCTAGGGAAATCCCCAAGTGCCAAGAAAAGCTCAGCTATCTACAGCACAGCCAAAACTGCCACAATGATCACATTTGAAGCAGCCACAGGTCCTGTGCTCTGAACCACATTTAATAACCTTGCCACAACAAACTCAATAGACTTTGATGCAGTAAAGAGATTCAGGAACAAAATTGCAATCAGACTCAGAACCATTTTGTTACAGCTGCTGCTATCAGATATTGCCAGAGGCAATAAGAGATGACTTTACAGCATCATGCAAAACCAAAAATGCACAAGTATTTTCTGTAAAATGTATACAGGAAAGTGAGATAGTTGCCTATCTCTATAGAGGTCTTTTCCCTTCTCCTCCTGTGTGGCCCATCAGCTAAAGCAAAACAAGCCTCTTGTTCTGAGATCTACAAAAGAGTCAGTGTCAACTACTTCCTAACTGTAAATAAAGTTGGCATTTAGATATTGTTCTCCTTTTCCCTTGTTACTGTAAGGCTCCACAGCAGAAAAGCAGACATTTCTGACCTCAGGGAAGATATTGGCACATAAGATCAGCAGACCTTCATTCCCTGTAGTCAGCAGTTGACACTCATCCAATGTAACTTTCCTACTTTTCTGTACCTCATGCTGCACTTTGGTTTTCCACTGAGACAGCAGCAGCTCAGGGATATAATCAGCTTAGCTGAAGTCAGACATGCTACACTCATGAAGACCCAGCCTGACAGTGACAGAGCCTGAAGAAATGTTCACAGAACCAGGGGACCAATACAATTTGAAGCAGAAAAGAGGCAATTGTTATTCAATCTAGCAAAAGCAAGGCTGGGGAGGTGGGGAGGAGATTTGATCATGTTATTTTTAATCAAGTGAGAAGGAAAGAATGCTTAGCCTGCAAAATAATACCATTGATTCTGATCCTCTTTGGTCCCAGGCAGGATTTTTCTTTCTATCAGCATCAATTGAAACCACAGTAGTGGTGGTAAAAAAACTATAGCCAACCTCCCCACCAAAAACATTTGGCAGGTGCCAGGCTACCTACCACACCTTTGGCCACTTAAACATATTTGGTTATATGTAAATAAGTGACTAGGACACACTTAAAGAGGTATAGATGGGAGTTGGTTTTGTGCAACTGTAACTGCCCAATGCTTGTAACTTGTAGCCTTGATGGAGCTACACATTGCAACTGCAGACAGCAGGATCATTGTAGGCAGTGGGAATACTCACATACTCGAAACTCTGCAAGGAGTAGCAAGCTGTGCAGTGTTGGGCCATATTACAGGCTCAAGTGCCTTTTCCTTGGAGTTCCTGCTCTAGTGAGTGCACTTCATTCAAGCTCCTTTGAAACCACTTGAAAGTGATTATGGTCTTTTATTACTAGCCTACAGAATACAGCTCAAACTGCCTCTGTGCCCTTCTAGGAGCGATGTGCATATGCATGTAGTAGGCATGCAAACCACTACTTACACTGAAGAAAGCTTAACCAAGCCCTAGGTCTGCCACTAGGATCTTTGCTAAGACAGCTAGATGATGTAAAATGCATTGGAACAGGAGATGTGAAAAGATCCTCTGGCAGGAAGTTTACTTTCACCTGGAATATCCTTCAAAAAGCTGCTTCATGGTTCTTCCACCTAGGCAAGAGTCCCATTTCACACAATACGTGACAGGCAAGGAAGGCACAAAGTGGCAGGCCAGCATGTCAACCACACTGCAGCTCTCCTCATGCACTTACTGTATCTCTGTCCAAGGGTGCTTAAGGGAGATGTTCTGCAAAGCAGTAGATGTTTGGGGTGCAGGCAAAGACGCTGCCTTTAAACCCACTGCTTCTGTTGGTGTTTTCACCGGAGGCAGAAAGTCTTCACTGTCAACAACATCTATGTAAAAACAAACCAGGACACAGAAGCAAGCGAGCAAGACAGAACTCCATTGGACTTTGGCTCCTTCATGTACCTTGAGAGGCACAACATTTTACTACAGGTATACATTCCAAGTTTAACTGGCCAGGTGGAAAAAAGGACAGCAGAGCAGGTTTCCTTAGTTTTAGGTCAAATTACAGAAGGTTCCATGTCAAATAGAGTCAACTATTCAAAGACAATCAAATGACTTCAACCATTTGTATAGGAGAATCACTAGCCCTAAACAATCAAACTTTAACCACCTAAAGGAGTAAGGAAGGGAGCTGTTGCTGTTCTTTACCCCCATTGCAAACAGTGTTTGATAGATTTAATGTGCAGAGAACACTCCACAGTTTGTTGTAAATGCCAGAACCTTTTAGACCAAACACTTACTAGGGAAGGGGCTATTTGTTTCAAACAAAATGTGCATCTAGCCATAACTAAAAAGGTGGATGCCCTGCTTGTGCCCTCCCCTGATCCACCGGCCTGTGTATTCCCACTGCTAGGAATGCACATCTTCATCCCACCACCACTGAAAAAATCTTGCTGTAAATTTCATAGGCCTGAAGAGGAAGGGGATATACCAAATGTGCACATTTCACATGTGTGAGGAAAATGAAGAGGGAATTTGTGATCATAAGATACCTGAGCATCTCCAACCACATGCTATGGATTAGGAGACAGCCCATTCACATTCAGAAGTTCCAAACATCAACCAAGCATTGATAGTTGGCACCTGCATTTAAAAACCTGGCCAAAACCTCTGCGCACTTACAGATGAGGAGCACCATTCATCACTGGGGGGGGCTGAAAGCAAAAGAAAGGCTGACATATGCAACACCTACTTGTTCTGCTAGCCAGGGGTTCATGCACAAGCTGGGAGCTGCCCACAGGAAATCTGCTCTGAGTGTTGCAAAATTCCCAACGTCTCATTTGTAGCTGCTGCAGCCAGTACATCATTGCCTGTTTGCTGATTGCCTAACATAACACAAAACAGGAAGGGAAGGGGAATAACCTCATCAGCAGAGGACACATCCTGAAGGGCTGACCGCCACTTTGCTGCCCAAGTCAGCAGAAATAAAGGCCAGCTATGTCAAGCCCATGCTATACCATCTGGTTCTAACTCTGATTTGGGAGGCAGAGTTCAGCACGGCCTTAGCAACAGAACCTCAGTGGACCACTGACCTAATTTTAAATGGTTTTTTAGTTAACTGTGCTCCAAAGCTAAGCAGAAATGTCATGATTATTTTAGCCAGGAATTGCCCACAGAACTTAATAGCGATTTGCATGGAGATAAAAATCTAGCACAGGTTCCTGCTGGAGCAACCATTTTAGACAAGGGAGCTCATTTCTGTTCAGCAAATTACATGTGGACTGCAGGACTCCTCAATGATTTTAATTCAGCACCCAGTTCAGCTTTTACTCCTATTCTGTTAAACAACAGCCATCTCGTAAGTAATGGAGTCCCAGTCTTGCCAAAACAATGCAAGTAATTTAGGTCCAAAGGCTGGTCCAGGCTGGGAGGACTGAAGTGAAACTCAAGCTAAGAGGTATCTTAGCATAAGTGTGTCTGTCCTGATTGGGAATGTTTCATAATGGCCCCCACAAGAAGATGCTGCTCCTTACCTTCAAAGTAAAAACTCTGCTTGGCGTTCTGATCTCAAAAACCCCTTCCCCATTTTCCACCTTGCAGTCAAAACTGGCGCTGGAGAGCTCGATAGACCCCAAAGGGTTGATGTCCTGTGCAGTTCTGTAGTATAGTAAATGACATTTGGTTTCATCATAAAAGAACCAGCGAGACTTCCAGGTCTTGATGGGGCCCTTAATGCCCAGCTTATTCAAATAGCCACAGAGTTTTTTTCTGGATGTTTCTCTGCTGGGTTTCAGCTGTGTGTTTTCCAGTTCTCCAGAAGAGGAAAGTATGTTGTCCTCTTTCGCTGCGGCTCCATTACTGCTGTTGTTGTCTGGATTTGACTCCACTACATTGTCTGGAGCAGCAAGGGGACAAGCTCCACTTTCTGGTCCTTTTTTCATCTCTTACAGGAAATATAACCAGAATCAGATTGAAACAGGAAATTCTCTAGGTAAATAAGGAACAGCAGATCCCACTATATCATCATTGTTATAGAACCTGCAGCAAATGAAAAAGGAGGAATAAGCTCAGGTCTGGCATATTACAAAAAAAAAAAATCCCTTTCAAACTGCCCAGCCAAGGTCTCCAACTTCTACTTTTGGTCATTGCTCCCTGCCTTCCTCAGCTCAGATGACCTCTATATATCTGTTTTCTCCATTTTCCATTCCTAAATTAGCCTGGACTAGCAGCCAAGAAGGAGTACCACAATCTCTTGAGTGAAAAATAAGTACAGTTTGTGGGCATACCAAATTAATAGCAATAACCAGGGCAGCTGAAGCCACAGATAACAATGTTAAGTAACAGTTGCAGAAAACATGGCAAGATAACAAGCTCTGGGGGAGCACATACTTGGGTCAAGGGATTTCAGGTAAGTGTATCCTGGCATTTCCTCTGAATGTTCAGCTATTATTTTAAACCATGGTGTCTGGAGAAAAATCCAGCGTTACGCAGCATCCTTATAATTCATTTGTGTCAGTTGAGAATTGCTGTTAAAAAGCCTGCATGTTATGTGTTAGGTCTCCATCCAGTGGCCTAATATGATGGATTATGCACCAGAGAAAGCAATACTGTGATCCTTGCAAAAGAGCCTTGGTTGTTCAGTGGCCAAAGTAACCTGCTGGGTTCCCAAGAGGAGTGCAATGTGCAAGAGAAAAATAGAAAAATAAGGCTGGAAGGAATCTGTGAAGATATCTAGTCCAACCTTCCTCTCAGAGAAGGGGCCGGCTTCAAAGCCATATCCAGCTACTGAAATCCACATTCAGATGAACTTTGATCATATGCAAGGATGGCAATTTTGCCACGTTTCTGAGCACTTTTCCAAGTGCTTAACCATATGACAGGTGAGATTTTTTGCTCAGAGCTGCAGGCACCCATGGCCCTTGTATAAAGAAAGCTAACACTCCAGAAAAATATCTATAAATAATTTCTTGCATTTTTTCTTAAGTAAAAACATGGTTTAAAGATCAATAAATGAAAAGACTACCAGAAGCTTCAGCTCAGACACTAACGTATCTGAAGCAAACACATAAGCAAATAAATTGTTGCAGTGTAAAATCAGTGGGAATCCAACTGCAGACACAGAACTATTGAATACAACAGGCAGCTGTGCAGGTGAATGGAGATTAACACAGCGGAGCACACAGAGACGTTGCCCAAGCTCAAGCTCTTAGGAATGACTTATCCTCATGGCGGAAAGAAAGCCTGGTGGAAAGGAACCATCATCAGGAGGAAAAAGCAGTCTCAAATCTCCCTAACAGACCCTGGGGCTTTTATGGCAATACCAGCATAAGGACCTCCTGTACCGTCTGAAAACTCTGTCACATTTCTACCTCTCGCCAGCATGATGGTCCACGGGTCCACACCGTGGATAGGATCAAGTAAACATTTTAGGTTCAAGCACTAAGTTGTAAGGAGTCATGTCAGATCTGCATTGCAAAGCACTAGAGGAGAAGATCTCACCTCCGTAAGAGAAGCGGAGAGATGCCCCTGGAAGTCACCATCTGCCGCTGTAGAGCTACTGCTGCAGGCACCACCAAGCAGGTAACCACTGCCTCCAAAATAAATCCAAAGGCCACAGAAGAGGGGCTTCTGCCTTAAGTTTCCTTCAGTCCAGTCGCTGCCTGGGAACTGTCTGAAAGAGACATTTAGCTGAAAGCCGGTCTGACACTGACTCATGAATGGAAAGGGAGCAGGGTGAACCCTGCACAGACCTTTTTCGAGCTGCTGGTGTGAGCAGCACAAGGCAGCCCC